AACAACGTCGTCATTAACGTAGTCAACGTAGTCAGTTGCTGCGCTCGAATTTCTCACTTAGGATGTCACTCTCTGTCCATTCGAGTACTAATTAATCTTGGTCATCCCACGTCTAATGCGGCTCACGAGCCAATTTCCCGGTTTGATTTTGTTTCATACCAGCTGTAGAAGCAATAAACTGAAAAAGGGCAAAGGGATCACTATTATAGCCAGACGCATGGCATTATTCCTATTGCTGTATTCGACTTATTTATATCAAAAAAACACATTCCGGACCACCGTTGTGCGAGAATCCCCACATAGTTTCTTCACTCTTCAGACCGATAATCAGCAACTTCATCTGTTTCTTTCACTTTCTATGAGATATTTGTATTCTATACCTAAACATGTTGTGATACCTTCGCAGCATGAATAAGATGCTAAATAGATCGTATGAAAAGGCGCAGAGAGAAAGATGCATGACACGCCATGTGTGTCACGGGGTCCGAAACGTGTTAAACAACCACAGACTAAAGGAGGCGGAGTGAGTGAGCGCTAATCCCGAACTTTCAAAGCGAAAGCCAAGAAAAAGTCATGCAATAAGGTAAAAACGAAAGCTAGAAGAGGCTTGCAGCTTCGCTGCAACCTCAAAATGAGAAAGATCACATAAAATGATGATAACAACATGCATGAAGCAAGTCTATAAAGATTGATAACGTGACGTTGCACACTAGAAATACTATAGCGAACGCTATCAAGCCAAATTATGCAACTTAGAGAGTAGGTTTTATGCTAGACTTTCTTTTAGTTTTTGTTCCGAAGAGTTACAAAGGCAGCTGGCCTGGCTTCGCCTGGCCCGCTCAATTTGAACGCAACTTTCTCCACTATATGTTGTATGGGCTTTATGGCGCGGACCACACCCTGCTGCAAATATAAGCGTATGCTTATAAATGCAGGATTCGCAATTCTTTGTTTTATTCTCTTTCTCTGTCTGTCAGATGCGATTCGATCTCTACAGCGCCATATGAGCAGCCCATCGTTGAGCAAATTGCGTTCAAATTGTGCGCGCCTGGCGAAGCCAGGCCAGCTCGGCGAAGCCGAGCTCAAAGAGAAGGAGGAGAGCACGGCGTGAGCCGTGCGATCCGACTGGTAATTTTTATATTCTACAGAATTCGGCGAGACACAATGAGAACGAGAAAGCAGTAGTATATAAAAAACAAGAAGAGAGTGAATTGTCACTTGTCTCTTTTTCTGAGAAAGGGCGGAGTAATCTGGGGGGAGAAGATGCGGGTCAAATATTTATGTCAGGATGTGTAGTCTGCCGCTCCACAGTTGTGTAGTGCAAGCGGAAATGCAAAAAAAATCGGAAAAAATTGCAAAATTTGTATAAATGTATCAGAAGCAGGTCGGGAGCGGAGCATGATGCCTGCGGTTCTAAGCCACATTGAGGGAATGCTTAACGACAGGTTCTGATAGATTTTTGACAAAATTTGAAGCGAACCCGAAAGTTTGGCGGGATTTAGAATTAGGCCCTCAGCCTATAACGAAGCTAAGCCATCACGGAGCGGGATAAGGAGGCGCGCCGAAGAGAATTTGTTATCAAGCCTATAACATCCCGCTGCGACGCGGTAATACTCGACAAGCAGGCCCAATTCACTTGGAATGAAAAAATAAGTGTCCAAAAAACTACCAATCGCATAGATCTGCTATGAGAAGAAATTATCACTGACCGTACATAGGCCCTGCTCTGCTGTTCTTTAGCTCGACGGAATCGTTGAAGTTGAAAGTGGTAGAAAATTGCCCCGACTCAGCGATCGAATGTGCAAACTTGACAACTCGCTGAAAAGAGCACAGGAGGAATACTAACTGAAGCACCGCTTTGGATTGTCATGCTGAAGGCCATACCGCTTCCATATTGCAGTCCTTAGCTGGTTAAACGGAACATCGATAGCACGGAATTTCATTGAGACAGTGTAGAAAGGCGTTCTGTCGAGTTTTCTCGTGGCAGACGAGTCGGCGACGGAGAAAGATGACGTTCTCTCTGGTCTGCGTTTGTGATTGGCCACCCTTGTCTTTGAGATGCTTTAATAACTGAATTTGAAATCAGGCGGAATGAAAACCCTCGGCTATTCTCCAACTCACCAACAGCCCGAAAGCTTGTTCGGTTTCCGTCACTGTGGCAGGGGGCTCGGTTACAAAGAAACTGGTGTAGTTGTTCGGATTCCCACCACATTGATTTTCGCTGATAATAGCAAACGTATCGCTACCTGGCATTAGTCGTTCTCGCCCCCTTTTTCGAGGTTGTAGGAGGAATATTCAATTAAATAAGCCTGACGTTTCAACCTGATTGTCGCCCGTAAGAGGCCGACAGGCTTCTATCGCTGATAAGCTTGAAAAGCGCGCTGTCGCAAAAGGAGTCTTGACAATAGCGCCATGTGAATGGGTCCTGCGAGTAACACTCTACTCAGGATCAAAAGGTGCATCGCAAACGGGAGTGCAGCTGGATACTCGAGCAACTACTCCTATAACTCTGTCCGCAGTACACTTGACAGCAGCTTTTCCGACGATCCTATAAGGATCTACGACACTCAGAAACAACAACAACAACAACAGACAACACAAACAACAACAGAGAGATGGAGAACGAGCAGAAGTGAGGGTAGCGCGTTCAGCAGGAGTTAGGCTTAGTGCTAGCAGCGCGGGCGGAGCTGTAGACGGCACGGAGTATTATCACCCTCTAGCTCGATTCCTAGCACTTTTTGATGGCACGAGAAGGAGAAAGTGGCACGCTACTGTAGCTGCGGACCGATTTACCTAGACATGGCAAGAACTGGGATGCAGAAGGTGATTGTGGAATATGTTTAAGCGCTGGAAGGCTTATAGTAAGGGATGTTTTTTCAATACATATATCTGAATTCCTCTGCATTACGTGAGTACGCTAGAGGCTACAGCATGCCCGGATGACCACCATTGTAATTTCCTTGGAATAAAAAGAAAATAAACTTATGACTGAGCAAAAGGAAGATTGTTAAATAATAAAGAAAGGATAAAGGATAAAGTCTTCGCCGTTAATCAATCCCTTTGTGGGATGCGGCACGCATTCTACTTCCATTCAGAATCGTAGTGGCTTATTGAATGCGATGTGGCCTATACAATGACTTGCGGTGGCCAGCCGATGTACAAGTCAGTGTTTTATCCTCCCAGACGAATCTGGTACCAATTTACCGTCCCCGGAGAAAGGCTTGGTTGGCCTGGGCGGGAGTCGACCCGGGATTCGAACCCGGACCGCGCGCAGTGCAAGCGTGCCGCCTGTCACTACACCACCATTGCATCAAAATAGCAAAGAAAATAACAAGGAAAACACCAGAAAATCACGAAAATTGACAAATAATTGCGAAAATTTGATGAAGAAAAGACTTGAAAAAAACCACAAAATACTTGCCTTTGGATGGACTATGCAGTGATGTGAGATACTCTGACAGAGGCAAGGCTGTGTCCTCTTGGAGATGTTGGTGTGCTTGGGTTCTGGGCAAGTATTCGAGATGGCGGAACAATCGTAACATTTCTATAATGAGTAGCTTCTCTTTGGACGGAAATAGATGTAGACCAAATTTATTTTCATACAAAAAAACGACAAGCTCAGACAAGAAGAAGAAAATAAAAAGCAAGTACGCGGGGCAGGTAAAAAGATTGAAATGCTATGAGATAGGACAAATCCGTTTCTATCGAATATCTTAAAATTTCACCCCTAGCCAACCTTAACCTAACCTTAACGCTCCACGCAGTCGTCGGGTAACACGGCCAAATCAGACCCCTGGTGACTTCCTCGAAACACATGCATACCGAAGCGTTCACCTGAATAAGTGATTCTAAACTTTTCCATTACTAGTAGTTACGGACAATTATTAAAATCATAGGTCAATAATAATCAATATAATCATTGGTCTACAGTCTCGTTCGACTGTTCCGTATGGAGGAAGAGGCGTGTCAAGGGAGATGAGTTGGAGCGATGCCAACCCCGTTTCCTAAATCGCTGTCGCTTACGCACTCCAACACCTTATACGGGGTGGCGGCTCGTTAAACCCAGCTACTGACACGCCCCATCTTCCGCGGCGAACAAAACTCTACATAGCGCGTTCTGCAGACACCATTTTTCTTAGCAGGCGCTGAGGAACGAACAGAGGTTTTTTTCGAAGTTTGTGTACCTCGAGTGGGTTCCTATTTGGTACACATTGTTCCATATTCAGACATGTACAGCGAACAAATATCGGTTGATAGAAAGCTCCTCTTTCTTCAGGATGATCGAGGGGGGAGCGCTTCCTGCAAAAAGAAATTGGAAGCTGATTGAAGACGAGGAAAATCTGCTACACAAACGCAATAGCTCTAAGTTAGTGCTAATTCATTTTAGGTACAGCTAACCTCAGACCTCAGTCCACTTCCCAAGGTTCAGCAAGAGTCCTATGAACCCTCTATGATCTCCTAAAGGTACTCGATTGATCACAGTCGATACCGTCTCAGTCGTCGGAGCGGTGGTAAGGGGCATGGAGCGAGCACCCCTCCCCATGACTCTTTCCATAGCTCGATGTTTTCTTCCCGAATCGACCACTAATCGATCTCTATTTGTAGGAAAATGAGCCGGAGGGGCTCATTTCGCGTCTCCTAGCACCGCCCCGACTCGACGATATCAACAATGAATGAATCTGATTTGAAGGTGTCAGTGGCACATAATCTTTCAATGGCACAGGCACCAGCACCTCCCCAAGATGTTTCTTTGTAGATTCCCCAGATTGATTAAAAAGATGCAGTGCAGAACACTACATGAAATAAAATGAGAGTTCCTTAGCAAACAAGTGCGGTCAATCTCTAATGAAAAGGAAAAGGAGTACAATGCTCCAAGGTCAACTGTACATTCACTTCTATGGACGTTCCTTTACCTGTGCAAGGTAGATGCATCCGCAGCTGCAAAAAAAGCTATTTTTTTACTCAAAAGCGGCACGGAAACAGGCTGAAGGATAGTGAAGCCTGGTGCTATCTCCATCATCTGCCTGTTCTACCCTCGGGGCGTGACAACTGCGTCGACAACAAGGTGCCGTCGAACACGCACTCATTGATGGAGGAGATTCAGAATTGAGAGGGCGCAGCAAGTTTTTGTGGTCAGGCATGTGGCTGGCCGTGCGGCGTCGTGGGCGTAGTCTACAGCACCCAAGTATCCCTGCCCTCCAGCCTCGTCCCGTGTACTTTTCACCATAGAAAGTGACACACTACTGCAGCTGCACCCACTAGGCCACCCGTAACGAGGACCAGGTTCATGGGTATGAGTGTACAATTTGTCTTCAGAACCTGATGTGAAATCAGCTCTAAGTGGATGACTCGAATTGATCCAGATCCTTTCATTAACTGAAATAACGCGTAAAACAAAGCATTTTTCTCTTTAGATAGCTCCTCTATTCACCTTGTTCCAGAAGTTTGCAATGACACCTTCTTTTCTCCTATCCACTTTCTGGATCTGCAGTCGTGATACCTGTGAAGGATGGGTCGCGTGCGAGTAGCACCGCTTAAGAGCTGCGCGGCCGTATTTAGCCTCATTTGGTGGAAGAAAGGCCCCGGCAGCGCTCAGTAAAGCGCCCGCGTTCACACTCCCCACCGTTTGCAGAGTCTAGCCTGTGAACTGATGGCCCCTGTGCTTGTGATCCAGTTCCTTTTGCATGCACTCTGGCTGATTTTTGATTGTTTGCTAACATCGTTTCAATATCAATCGTGCAAGTAGAGTGCTTCGCAAATAGGTGAACCAGTGAGTAAATAAACAAATATTGATATATAAAGCACGCTGGCCGACTTTTTTTGACTTTTTTCTCTGTGGAGCATGAACAGACATTTAAGATGAGCAATTATCACTCATATGCGCCATAATTAAATGGACTTTAGGGCGGATTGAGGTCGCTAGGACTGCTACGCCTTCCTCTCTGGTGTGATCCTCCTACTTGCCAAGAGAAGGCATCCGTCAACCAGAGTATGTAGCTCACTTGCCCACGTGACCCAGCCATAACTCAGCCCGAAAAGCATGCCCAGATTTCGCTCTGTATCATACAGAATTTTATTGTTTCCACTTTATGAGCACGCAATTAGTTGGTTTTCACAGTTATGTAAGCGACCAGTGCAAATCACAATTTATTGCGAACTGTGAATAGAGAAGGGATTGCTGCACGCCTGAGGTAAAGGGAATATATTAGGTTGTCCGGAAAGTTCTCAGCGTTTTGGGTGTTTCACTTTAAACGATCGTAACTTTTTTAATACTCATCGGATTTAATCGAAATAGGCACATTCGAAATCAGCACACTTTTGCCAATATGACACCAGTCGAGAAATCCCATCAAAGAAAAACTGGGTGGTCGAGAATCTACGAAATCCACGAAGGCTTTTTTTGCCTGGTCCTGATTGATGAAGTATTTTCCAGCAAGGGAGTTCTGAAAATGTTTGAAAAGGTGATAGTCGATTGGCGAAAGGTCTGAAGAATATGGCGGTTGAGGTAGAACTTCAACCCCAATTCGTTCAATTTATGGATAGTGATTTGTGAAACGTGTGGGCGGGCGTTGTCATGCAAAGGAATCGGACCCTTTCTTTTGATAAGTGTTGGCTGCATCTGACAAAATTTTCGGTACAATTCGTCGATTTCTTCACAGTAGGGTTCTGCTGTGATGGTTTGGCCTGGTGGTAAAAAGTTATATAGTGGATCACACCAGCCGATGACCACCAAGCCGTGACCAGAATCTTTTTTTCGTGAGGGTTCGGCTTTGAAAATTACCTCGGTGGTTCGTCGAAATCCAACCACTGTCCGGAACGTCTCCTGTTATCATACATGACCCATTTTTCATCAAGGTGACAATTCGGCCCAAAAACAGGTCGTTTCTGCTGCGCAAAAGCAATGCAGAAGGTAACCTCGCGTGTCGATCCTGCCGGTCACTCCGATTGTGGGGCACCCAATTGTCGAGTTTTTTCACCTTCCCAATGCGTTCCAGACCATCTGCAACAGTGGATTTGCCAAGGCCTAGCTCTTCTGCTATCTCGAACTGTTTGGGATGGCGTAACGCCTTGCCGAAAATCAAAATCCTCGTCAGATATTGCTTTAGGTCGACCGCTATGAGGTTCATCTTCAAGGCTGAAATCTCCAGAACGAAATTTGTTGAGCCATTGCCGCACAGTGCTTTCTCTAGCACTAGTGGGCCCCCACACCTGGTTAATTTGTTGAGCTGTTTCGATTGCGGATTGCCCCAATTTATAGTCGAAGAAAAAAATCGTCCGAAGTGCTCTTTTCACATGCTTGAAAAAATCTTGAAAAAAGGGGGTTTATCAAGCAATGGTGAAACGGCAATTATACCATCAGATAGCGCAAGAAATTCTCTACAGGATGTGTCGCGGACTGAGAACGCAGCGAATGAGATTTTTAATCAGCAGGGAATTGATACAAACAGTAGAGTGCACAGACGCCTTGAGAACTTTCAGGACAACCTAATACCTTTTTACGAGGAAATTTCGCGTCTGAGAATCCGACTGTGTCTAATTTAGTCTCCTTTCGGTTGACCGCTGATGTTTGTTGAGAGGACTATATGGTCCAAAGGCTCATTTCCGCACTAGCCAATAAAGTGAGGGTTGCAACACCGGAAAATAGTACCTACCGTCGAATATCAAGATCCAACAACATGTCCATGTCCTCGTCTTTTCGAAGCATTTCATTCATTTCTTTTGCGTTAATGACTCTTTCCCAGTGGTCGAACTGCAAACATGTGAGAGTGGAATACTTGCAATCCGAGTGGTTAGTTCCAATAAAAGAAGCACTAAATACTGTCATGTCATGTATTGTAAGATGTCATGTATTACACCCGCGCCGAGTTCATGTCTTCAAGACAATATGACCACTCACCTCCAAGTACGGTCCATTGTGTGCGGGGCGAATGGCGTGTCGCAGCTGCATAGGGTGCACTTTCTCCGCTTGAAGTGACACTGGGGCGAGGCTATCAGAGTAGTGAGAGTAGCACATCTCCCTTCGCCGCTCCCTGTCTCCTCCCCCCCCACACGCAACAACATTTCAGTGAAAACAACTAGAGGTGGAGGGTTCAGACCACCAGCGCTTTTAGTTATGGTCAGGCGTTGATGGGCATTGCGGGAGCAGAATTGAGACTACATCCGCCGGCATCACTGTCCTCCAGCCCGCTCGTTCAGCGTGCATCTTTTGCGCTTTACAAAGTCCACACTTATGCCACACGCTGGACCTACTCATCTCACGCGTCGGGTAGATAAAGGATCTATAAGGTGAGCGTAGTGGTGTGTATAGTTCGGGATTCGATGAGTGCAACATGAGGCTATCACTGCTGTGGGATGAGGATACAGGGTACAGCATCGTTGTTGTCCAAACCCCATGAGGGGGTGGTACTCTGCCTGTCCTGGGGGAGGGGGGGGGCGTCGTATTTGTCAGACAAATTTATTTTTGACAGTAGATTTTTCTTCGTGGAAAGGCGGGAGAGCTCGTCATTAATGTTTTTTGTTTTTATAGGCTATATTCATTGTCTATGCCCGTGGGATATATGTTGCATGGTTATATACCCCGCCAACACTCGACGAGTTCTTCGCCGACGACCTTGTACAATCACTTGCTCGTTAGTCAAGTGAAAAAGGCGTGGAGCGGTGAAGGTCGTTCCTGGACCAATTGTCGAAGGGGGGGGGGGACACCACACCGAACATTTCGCACATCCCATCGCGTACCGCTGTGAGGATTCGCCTAGCGGCGAACACCGTTCTGCGACGATGAGTCGGTAACCAAGGCGTCAGGGTGATCGTGCAGAAAATCAGCATCCAAATGGATCCTCGAAAACAGCGGCGATGATGCTAGGGGCAAGTGCTAAGGCAACTTGAAGACCGCGTTATAAGTGGAGCATAGGACCTCGTGGGTCTGACAAGCGAGCCCTAGCAATGGGTAAAAGGACAGGGACTAGCAGCAGGACGTTTACCATTAATGGTAGAGAGAAAGAAGAAAGGAAGCCACAGGGTATACGAAGTTGGTGCGGATCATGAGGGCCAAAGAGATGATCAAATTTCTAGGGACACAAAAAGAAGTCTAACGAACCTCCAGATCGTGAACGAACTAGAAATCATTGAAGCTTGGACAATGAGAAAATTGAAGCCTACACATGATCTACTCACCCCTTCTCTGATGTCTTCGTATTGAATGAGTTCACTGTACTTGAAAGCATTCAGATTGCACACGGTAGCAGCAGGAAACGGTGCTAAAATATCACTAAACAGTTCACTGATCTTAAATCCTCCTTCATTCATGCAAATGGTAAAAAGGATAGAGCTATCCTTGACGCATTAATTCCATTTAGGATGCGGCCACGCCGTTGCACCTTCCACAAAGAAATGGTAGGCGCATTTTTGAAAGCCACTTAGATCCAAGCGATGGCTCTGAAATGACACCTCAAGCCGATTTACTATTCAGCGTTTTGCCATCCCATATGAGTCTGGTAACAACTGAGCAAGTTCTCTTCAGGAGACTGGCAAAAGCGAACATGTAGGATTTGATGCGAAACAATGGCCATGGGTTGTGCAGTGAAAAGCTGAAAACAATTGGTATAAACCCTTACCAGCTTCGAACCTCAACTGCATTTCGATAATGCGTCCTATAGCTGGAAAATAATCGGAGAGTGTCCAGTATGTTTGGCACAGAAAAAGAGTAGCAGCACAAAAACACACTGCCATCCATACACGCCATCCAAAGAACGATGGGGACCTGAGCAAAATCAGTTGTGAAGAGAAAGCTAAGCGACGGATAAATAGGGGAATAGGTTGCACTTGTAAGGTGCGATATTTCTTATGCTGGGGCTCCTTGTGCGTTGGCAGATCCCAGCCAGGGGCTCGATTCGGTCGATTAAGAGAGGGGCGCAGTTGCCTCTTGGACACATATTCTTTGATTGTGCTATATTACCGTGAGGGGAATACTGGACATGGTGACGATATCTGGGGAAAGCGGACAAACGAATGCGTAAGAAAATTTGAAGGATTCAATAAAATTGGGTGGGTAAGATGGGGATGGGAAAGAGGTGATCGTTCTGGTTGTGAAGGAGGGGCGGGCGTCTTTCCCCTTTGCACATTTTCTCCTGCCGCTCGAGCCGTTTGCCGCGTCCTTGTTGTACATCACCAGTTCGGCTGTTGGGCAGCTATTGACATACTGTCACAACGTCACCTTTAGATAAACACATTATAAAACCTAATAGTGGACAGCACACCTGAACTGGACCCGGTAGTTCGCTCAACTTCCTTTTGCGATACCGTCTACCTTTCCCTATTCCTTCCTTACTAGTGATATGCCAAAAAAAAGTCACAGAGACAAATAAGATAAGATTCGGGATTCGGAAATTCGGTAAAATCAGGACAGCGCTGGAAAGCGGGCTCTTGGTACTGGGCTAGCGGGGGTGATCAGGCCTATCTGTCATGGATTTTAGATTTCGCACAAGATTGATTCAAGGCATGTTCCAGAATACATATTTCTAGGGAAGGCTGGAAGAGAATAAAAAAAGATGAAGTGAGAATAGCATAAAAGATTTTACCCTAAAAAGGGAACACCGTGTGAGCTTGTCCTATTGCAAAAATCTTTGAAGAGCGTCTTGATGTTGGTGTATCGGACATCTTCCGAAGAGGCTGAACGAACAGATCGTCGTGAAGAGCGGCGGCGACTCGAGAACAGGGCCGGCACCTGAAGCGCATAAAGATAATCATGATTAATGTAGGATAACTTACCTGACAGTGAATACTCATGTAGGGAAATGTAAAAAGAGTTAATGAGAAAAGAAGAGATGAAGAAATTAGAAAAGAGTTTCGGAATAAAAAGAAATGTAGGAGGTAAAAAACATTTTCAAACGGTTTCGTGGCACAGTTTGAGATGGTACACGGAGTATTCAAGTTCAATATTGCTCAGTTTCTCCTCCACAAGCAGGTGGGAAATCCTCCACTACTGTCACCATCGTCGCACCAAAGAAACCCAACCTCGGCAAAGCCCATTCTCGAGCTCAAGAAGTCCTGCAGTATTTTCATCATTCTGGAGTCGCTGTTTGAATTCCTCACTTCAGTCGGCATAGAATCTTGGAGAACGTCGCGGTGACGACGGATGATAAAAGCCTTCTAGTGAGCCTCGCTATGGTTCATGACTTAATTTTCATGACAAGAACTCTTGATAGTCACGATCTTCAGGACCACCCAGACTCCAAAGATACCAGGACTGGGAGTTGCGCCGAAATAGATGTCTAAATTAGCCACTGACCGTACTTGAAGGAATGTCCCCCGTTAACATGCAGACACCGTCTTTGGACGTCACCTGCTCATGACGATGGCGATGCTCACCCTGCTCTTTCTCAAACCACACCCAGCGCCCCTGTCGTTGCTAGCTTCTTCCACTCTAACTGGCGAGAGAAATGACAAGGAAATTTCGGACAAGCTCGCCTCGTAAGAGGGTCCCATTAAAAGCATTCCGGAAGGTTTTTTCTGCCTATCCCTAAGACCACAATTTTAGAACTTGTCTTCGTTTGATGGTTAACATTGTGAACGAAGTGTCTTTTAGTCCGCCCTCCCTACTGAACAACTTCGATGCGAAAGTTCTGCTCCGTCGAAACTTCAAAAAAAGCTTAATTCCTTCGAGATATGGTTTCTGCCTTGAGTGAGCGAGCGAAAATGTCACTATTACCAGTATACTTCTAAGTGGAATGTTGCGCCAACAAGTCAGGCTCTGAGTTTTCAGTGAACTGTTACCAACATCCGTATCCTTGTATACATGTACTGCGAGCAGTGCAAAACGTTGCCATTCAAGAACTGATGCTTCTCTTATCGGCGCCAAACAAATCAGATTAATTTCCGACCCTTCTCATTTTCCAAATTTTCAATAATTTCTCATCAGACGAAACTTCCGGAAAAAAAACTTGCGCGAAGCAAAAGACTTGATGATCAGAGCGTCAGAGCGGAAATCGACTGAGCGCATGTGGTCCTTAACACGTTGACGACAACGCGGTTTTTACTTTTCGGCCTCGTGGGACACGCGCGCTTTCTTGAACGCCACAAGCGCGGTACGCATACAATTCAAGCCGTCCCACGAAGCGCTTTTTGGAGATTGGATCGAAAAACCTGGTTTAGAGAGCAATTGTGAAGTAAGTCAATTATTTACTATGGAAAAATCTGGGCCGGCCAACTCTCTTTGCACCAGAGCCAGGAATTTGTCTGCAACCAATTTTTTCATAAAAACGCAAATCGTGCTTTCTATATAGTGTAGTTCGCTGCGGACGGTTGGGCGTGTCAGTGCGGCTGCGTTTGGCGCGGTGCCAAACTCGTTCTCCACCAGTTGTTGAAGCGGGCAAAAGACAATACTGTGTCATACCCTTCGTATTATTTTTCTACCACTTTTTGTCGCATGCGAACCAGGAGCAAACCAATTCAAGCTTATAGTGCTCTTTCCACAGGAAATCTTTGCTAAACTAGTGTGTACTAAATTATTCCATGGACCACGTGTTGTACGAGTATACTAAGGACTGGCCTATAGAATGAATAGGAGAAACTAAACAAAAAATCATGCACTAGTGAAAGATATGGATTTGTTGATCGTGATTCGTATACAATTCGCGCGGTCCCACGTGGCCCACAAAGCGCGCAGTATCACGCTGTCGTCAATGTGTTAATATTTATTAGGGTGTCCACAAAGTTCGTTGGCCATTTGTAAACAGCGTCGCGTTACGCAACGCGTTGTGATTTTGCATAATGATTTCGCAATACTGAAAGTACTCGCGATGGGCTATCTTCTGAGCTAGCTAGCTCTAAATTTCCTTTCCTGCTCTTCCCACAATAAAGCAGTGAAGATGAGTGATAGTCACCACCACCGCCGATGTTTGCTGGACTACTACAACCTGGGCATCTCCAGACGTCAGGCCACGACCAGGATGCGTCAGCAGTTTGGTAATAACACCCCTTCTAAGAACTGGATGTCAAAATGGTGGACTCGCCTCACCAATGAAAACTATGGCATCGAAGATATGCCGAGGTTTCTGGTTCTCTCGCCACGGCGTCGTCCACTACAGCATCCTACCCAACAATGCCACAGTGACGGCAGAGACCCTCTCTAAAGAATTGCAGGAGGTCAAGGTGAAAGCTGCCGCCTTGTCCCAGAAACTTGCAAATCCGTGGTTGCTCTGAGACAACGCGCGCCCCCACAAAGCGAGAGATACTCAGGCCGTCCTGGACAGGCTGGGCATCAGACGATCACGCATCCACCGTATAGCCCGGACATTAGTCCATGCGATTACCACATCTTCCGGTCCATGCAAAATTTCTTGGACGGAAAACAGCTGAAGAACGAGCGCGACCTCGAGGACGTGATCGAGGACTGGGCCGAGTCGCGGCCGGCCAGCTTTTGGGAGGATGGAGTTGCCTCTCTACCCGATCGTTGGCGAAAGGTATGCATGGAGATTCATGGACCGGTAAGTTCAACTTGGTGAGATATCTTTACCAGCTCTGAAAAAACGAATGGCCAACGAACTTTGTGGACACCCTAATAGTTGGCCCACAAGTGTTGACGTTTCTTTCTCACACGAAATTGTTTGAGGAAGCGGAAGCTTTCTGAACACGTTCCACAGTGTTCATCAAAATGGAGCATTGAGCCGACACAAGTAAGAACATTCGAACTTTTTTTGCCTTAGACCAGGAGCGAACCATGTGATACAGTCTTGGCGCTTGCTAGCTTTAAGAACTGATGAGGAAGCGGTGTGGCGCAGCGCCAGACCCATCATCATCAGCCCTGACATGCCTCATCATCCGCAGCGAACAGACTGATCACCTCGTTTCGAAACCTCTACCACCACGTGTAAGTGATGGTAATGACTAGGTAGGATCGTTCCGTGACTCTTTCAGCTCCCCACTTATTGGCGTAGATCAACTTTATTAAGTTGATTCAATAAGCTCTCAATAGAACTCACTATGGTGCCCGACGCTGTGCTTGTCTTCAAGCCAAAATTGGTATCTTTAGATTATTCAAACAAACCTTGAGCCCGAGCCTTCCTAACAGATATCGCTTCTTGGCTATGTGCTTAACATATGTGCCTCCGCTTCTTCACCTTTTCAAGCAAATGCGAATGGAGAGGATGTTGAAGATATTCAATTTTGTCGACGCATCACTCCTCTTTTTATACAGCGAGTGAAACGGCAAAATACAGAAATTTTTGGAAAATTTCTTCGACCTCGTCGACTATCCGACCGGCCTCCATTGGGGAAACTCTGGGGCAATACCCACTTCACACGCGGAAGGAGGTCTCAAATACCGACTGGTCTCAAAAAATACGAAAGTTTTCCTCTCGTTGAGAGGATTTCTGTAAAGTGTCTAGAGATTAGAGGCCTTATTGTTTTCAAACAAAAAATTTCAAGTACGCGAAAAATGCCATTGATTATGAGCAAAGTCAATTCTTGTAAAAGCAGTATTCTTGCCGAAAAAGATTGCAACAAAGCAATGAGTACTTCCGTTGTACTGAAACTTCGAATAATGTAGCTACGAGAAAAAGGTGCACACCAAGTAAAGAACTACCAAAAGGTACTTCTTAGCAAGTGTTACTCGACAGCAGAAAGTTTTAGTTTCACGCAAGAGATGAGAGAAAAGCTCCGCTGCAAAAATCTGAAAGGCCACAAGTTCTTAGAAATACACAAGAAACCTTTCAGATGTTTCAGAACTCTTCGGAATTCCGAAGCCTGAATGAGAACTGAAGCTTTCCAAGATCTGTGAGCTAGAAACGAGAAATATTCACCTTCAAGTTGTCCTCGATTTCCGGATCATCATAGAACTCCTTATCGCCCATCGGCGGTTGCGCCGCCGCCACCGGATCACGGCGCTTCTAAAGCAAACTTATAATAACTACTACATTTCAAAAGTGCAGACGCCGATGTTCAAAGACAATGTAACTTTTAAACGTTAGTTACCATATTCAACCAAGTTTCAAAGAAAGATATAGTTTCGTCATACTGTTCCTATTATGAATAAAAATTACAGAAGAAAAAAAGAAGTGAATTTGCACTTACGACATCTAAATCGAAGCGTAACTTCTTAATTTTGATATCGTTCTAGCAGTGAGCGCAATGAAGGGGGATTGACCCGTCTAAATTCTCGCCTGCACTTGCTTATCACGTTATGAAGGCTGAATCCATAGGGACATTAAACTCCGAATTTGACATCCACTGGATGTAACTCAGTTACCGCGCAAGCTCCAATCACAAGAAGGAGCAGAAAGACCAACGCAGCTATGCCGCAACGTCAGCGACCTTTTATTCCCAGCCAACCTTCCCAAAAAAAAGCTCCCGACAATTTCACCTGCAGCTCTTGACAGATACAGTCCACCTCCAGATTTTTTTCTTCCTGTATTCTCATTTTTCTTTGCTATCTATCATTTCTCTACCTTATGTCAGATCACCGTGGTAAAAATCTGTCCGAGTTTTAGTGTTGTGGTAACAGCTCTACACAGCCGCAATTGAGGAGCATGAAATCACGTTCACAGGAAGTACAGTCCAAATCCCTGAGATGTGGTAGGCGTGGCTGCGTACTTCAACTAAACGTGGCGGTGGCTGTGCTTTTGGTGAGATATTTTCATTTTGACACAATGTGGTCATGTCTCTGTCCAACACAGAACAAGATGACAGTTGTCTCAAACTGGAATATCCCACGAGTAACCCATTCTATGCCATGTTCAAATGCCACGCCTACTCTGTCTCAGGGATAGGGAGTTTACCATAATTGATTTATTCCCTCAATTTTACGAAGCAAGACGACCTAGCAGCCTGAGATACGTCCTACTATATATCAGATGGCCAGATTTCTCACTTTGATCCTTAATAGGGATAGACTGGGCTGAAATGCTAACCGCGGATTCTCCCTCTTCACTTTTTCGACCTTCAATTCACATTACGCGTTTGCCCTACAGAAAATGAGATTTTTTCGAGCTGATACAATCCTACCCTGACAATATGATAGGAGACTTATGAGGGGGGGGGGCGTAGATAAAAAAGAAGAGGCATCACCCGGACCAGTCAAAAAATTTTGAAGTTCGAACCCGGAACTACCCGAGCAGCGGGAAAACATGGAGTAAGAAGTGGGTCGAGGTTGATTCGATTGATTTCGCGAGCAGTGTATGGATGAACCCGCTCTTTGATCGACTCGAATTTTGTTACAGAAAATTCGAGTGGGCTGCATTCTATGGGGGGGGGGGGGGGGCGTATATACCAAATGTGATGAACGGTATTGTTCTGAATATTGCCAAACTGCATTTTTTTTGTACGCACTGGCCCTCAGTTTGGATGGCCGGGGACCCACTTCACACGCATAAGGAGGATCGCCAGCCGAAGGCGGGCGATCCGACTGGTAGCAAGTAAAAGTGCGAAATGCGCACGAATGGTTTCATACATTCTTTTTATTTTATCCTCGCTTTGCTTATTACATTCATACGTGTATTGTAGTTCGTTGCGTTGTGCTTTATTAGTTCTCCCAACAACTAGTTTTTCAAAAATACTAGGCCTTGACGCAATCTCAACGGCAATCTATGTAAGTGAATGCTCCCTTTTGTGCCTATTAGCCTTCCCTCAGCGTTTGTAAGTTCAACACCTCACGAGCCATTATTGATGTCTTATTATGAAACATACTTGACCTGAAGATTGGCTTCGATCTGCTTTCCCTCTGCCTCTTCTTACAATTCGTCTTCAACTGGAAGAGGCGTAAAGGAAACCTGAGGCTATGTCATGCGGAAGCATGAAAAAATGCTCCTGCTCTAACTAGGGAGGTCGTTCGTGCGTGGAGCGCTTTTTTTGAAAAACGGTTTTTTGGCATGATGTAATGATGCTTGATGATTTGATGATGGAATGCGCAAAAGGAGTGAAAAGAGAATCCATGGAAACCGACTGTCTTTTTGATAGCGACCTGAATGGGCTCTAAATCACTCGCGCAACTTCGGCCAGTTGCTGCCTATAGGGTCCTTATAAAGGTACTGGTATCGATGAGAAAAGTAGTCGCCAATGGGGTCCTACTTGTGGCACGTAGTCCCCAATTTGGAGCCAAGTCTTTCTCCCACTGGAGTCGCTATGTACATTCGTTTGAGGGACTTGCAGGGCCATTCTGACGCCCGAGAAGTTGGCTTTGCATGCTCAAGAATACAGAAGTCAGAAATCGTGACTCAGGACCATTGATTACCTACTATAGGCAAACCTTTCGGCAAATAACAAAAGTTTTATTGACTTTTTATGAGTTGCCTGATTAGACGACCATTTGCGTCCGTGGTGATGAAAAAGGAGACGGCACAACTTTGGAGCTGCGATGACGTAGCGATGACGTGGTGGGCCGCCGGGCAGCCGCATCGCGGATTTGGTGCTCATAAGGTCCATTCATACTTGGCATGGGCATGGGTGGCCGCAGAACAAGTGAAAAACCATCCTGGACATTTGTCGACCCCCGCGACGGCTCGCTCAACGAAGATGTCGTCCTCCCCTACCAAGAGGAGAGACTCATCCGATTTCTTCCTCAAATGCACCTGGGACGGAATTGATGAATTTTGGATTGCTTTTTTTCGATGGCGTTTTATGCGTTGTTGACCTAGTTTTTTGTTTCCGTACCACTGAATGAGGTTTCGATAACCAGCAAAAGTACGACTTCAACAAAGTGACTCTTGAGCATAACCCAATGCACAGACTCAAAAAAGTCAAAAAAATTTTTTGGCTGAAAGTTTGCCTATAGGGGTAATCGATGGTCCTGATCACGATTCTGACACTTATTCTTGACGTCAATACCACATCTGGGTCAGACTGCCCTGCAACTCCCTCAACGAATGTACATAGCGGGACTGACCAGTGAGCGAAGAAAGACTTGGCTCCAAATTGGAGATAAATGGCACTAGAGCTGAAAGTAAATGCCATAGTCATGATCAGGGCATCGAATAACATAAGCTCAGCTTTCAGACAAGTTCTTGCTTAATGGTATGTGAAATCGAAATTGCTGAATAGCACCGACTACGGGCTATAACTATTTAGGATGTGCCTATAAATGGCAGATATCCGAGTAAAATTCATTAACAGACATATATTGGACAGCGACAACAACAGGAAAATAAAAAATGAAGACGTGCAAGCGCGAGGCGAGTCGGAACATAACGCACATCCCCCATCCCACTGTCGTATGAAATCCTCACGCAATTCCCTAGGCGATCCGCATCGTTTTGACAGGCACCAGCTATCGATTGCTTAAGACGCCCATTCGAATCTAGGCCTTTCCGACGTCTTAACTACGTGCCACAAGTAAGACCCCATTGACGACCACTTTTCTCATAGATACCAGTACAACCTTTATAAGGACCCTATAGGCAGCAACTGGCCGAACTTGCGAGTGATTTAGAGCCCATTCAGGCTCAATAACAGTCGGTTTCCATGGACTTTTTTTCACTCCATTTTTGGCATTCCCAGAGGCGTTCAGGAAAAATGAACACCAGTTTGGTACTCCATGCACGTGACCCCACATCATGCGAAAAACCGTTTTCAAAAAGCGCTCCACGTCCTGAACGACCTCCCTAGTAAGGGAATCACCTTCTCTCAGAAGATTCGTGACCAGCGAAAGCTGTACCAC